ATCTTTTCCTGCAACACTTGTACAATTAACAGCCTTTAATGGGATTTCGTTCATCGTTATACGACATTCACCTTTGAACCATGTAGCTATAAGACCTGCACGTAATATACGTGCAGGTCTTATAGCTACCAGGTTCAAAGGTTTACCCACAACAGTCAACACAGTGCGTAAAATGGTTGCAGGTTACAGCAAAAATTTTAGGAATTTTCAATTACTGAAATAGCCGGCAAAAAAAACCTGATGTCGGTGTCGAAGAAAAAAATTTTTTATCTTTCGATGAATCACTGCGTAACCCCTGCTACATGGATATTAAATTTGTATGCAAAAAATTGTCAGTTCTGGTGTTAGGCTTAATTTGTATAACAGGATCAATGTCTGCATATAAGTGTATAGAGCTATTAGAACAAAAGCTTGCACAATATGGGCCTAATTTGCGAAAAGATATTGTTGGTGTTATGACTGACGGAGCAGGTGTAATGAAAAAGTTGGGAGAATTTTACCTGTAAATTAACAGTTATGTTTTGCCGATGGTTTGCAATTGGCCGTTATTGAAGTACTACATCAAAAGTAGGATATAGAAAGAGAAATGGATAAGCAATTCGACGAAAGTAAACACCAAATATAGAAGACGATTATTCAAAGAGTTACTCATGCAAGGATTATGATTTTTTTAACACCAATTAATTTTTTGATCTCAATGCTGGTTATAATATGCGTCGAAGAAACCATTGTGATGTTACTGAGGTAAGTTGTGGTCCAGTGATCAAAAAGGTACAACAATTAATAGTAATGTTCATATAATCATTTAAAAAAAGATATCTTGCAGAATTATGTTGCGGCTGAATTCGGGAAGAAAAACTCTAATAAAAGACTGCAAGACTGGATGGAACAGTCTTTTCCAATGCTTCAACACGTCTATTTATTAAAAATTGTTTACAAATAGCATTTATGGCAAAAGTCTACCGGAAGGTGAGCTACTCGAAATTGTTTATGGTTCTTCTGACTCTCCATCTGAATCTATTTCCTTTGCTCTTGAAAAGAGCAAAAGAATAACAGACGAACTTAATGAATATTTTAAAAAAGCATATTTGCCCGACATAACAATTCGATGTGAGACGCTGTCGGTGACAATTCAAAAGGAAATGCTGTTGTTTGTAAATGGAGGAACACCTTTTAATTTTCCGCAAAAAACGTATAATATTTTAATGACTATAGAGCCTACGAGTGAACGTGCTTTTTCTGAACGTGCTTTTTCTTTTATTTTAAGCAGCCTTGACGCATTGGTTACCACGTTTGCCTCAGAAACTTGAGATCCGTGGCTTGACACCCCCTCTACAGGGTGGACCATTGAAAAAGTCCATGTATAATTTGTAAATCTTTTTCATGCAACGTGATTTTTCCGTTTCAGATAGATTCGTTTGAAGTCAAAATGGATAGCATTCCAATACAGGATAAGACTAAAATCATCGAACTTTACTTTGTTACCAATTCTGTGGTTCTAGCCCTGCGAAATTTTCGTAGAGAGTTCCCTGGCAGACACTGTCCGTGTGCAAGAACTATCAAACGCCTCGTGGCAAAATTCAAGAACACTGGTAGTATCATAGATAATAATAAAGGCTGTAGTGTTTGACTATTTTAGTTGGAACTCAAGCTAACGTTGAAACAGTATGGGACCTTTTGCAACAATCCCCACAAAAATCAACCAGGCGACTGTCACAGTAGGTCGGTATCTCAAGGATATCTGTACAAAGAATATTATTATATAATATGTACAAAGACTTAACATTGTTTCCCTACAAAATATGAGTTCTCCAACAACAACTCAATGCAAACAAAAAACCGAAAGGTTTGAATTTTGCACAAGCATTTCTGAACGAATTGAAAACAATCCGAGAGCTATCGACCTCATTTTTTTTAGCAATGAGGCCCATTTTCACTTTAGTGGACAAACCAAATGTCAACAAACAAAACATGAGATTTTGGGCACCTACTCAACCCTATGAACACATCAAGACTCCAAGCCAAAAAAAAGTAACAGTGTGGTCCACAATTGGCAAAAGAGAGATTGTGGGCTCATTAAAATGTGGACACTTTTTATAGCCAACCCTGTTGACAAGTTTTAAAAAATTGGTAAGGAAGGAGGGGTGAATTTTTTTTCAAATGCTCTTCTGTGGTGCTCTGTAATAAGATCGTAAGAACTTTATGGGGCACCTAACATAAAAATTAAAAAAAGAACAACTTAATAATTAAGTATGTATAATATTAAAAAACCAAAGAATTTCCTTGTAATTTAATAAATAGTATTTTCTAAACTTATTTTAAATGTCTTATTAATTTTATTAAAATTTTACTTAAATAATATGTTGAAATTTTTCAGGTATTTAAATTTTCCAGGATTAGATAAATATAATCCCGAAAACACGGGATTGAAAATATAGCTCGGGATTACAAACCCTACATTGGAGAGAACATATGAGCTGATAAAATAAATTTCGGAAAATTTTCAAATTGCATCTGAAAATGGTGAACTTAGTAATGGACGAGTTTAAATGCTTTTCTTGTAATTTGCCATGCATGCACAATTCAATCAAATAAGAGCTCTGGTCTCGATGACTCGAGAGCTAAAGTTGTAAAAGATGTTTTTGTCATCATTGAATATGCCTTTATTTATTTATTAGATATTTACTTAATTGTTTTCTTCAACCTTTTATTAAAATGTGACGATTGATTTGTCAAAGAAATTTGATACGGTGGAGGCGTTCTTTTACAATCAAAATTTTCTATTTTTACATCTAAAAAGCAAAACTTCATTCTTTTAAAGAAACTCTTTTATTTAACTATTATAATATGTTTTTTACCAACTAAAACAAAACTAAAACAAAAATTATTTACAAAATAAATTGGAAACTCCATTAAAACTACACTATTTTAATTAACAATAAAATAAATTTCTAAAAGTAAAGAAGATTATCTTTACAAAATCTTTTAAAACTGATTTCCGATGTTTTGACAAGACTAACTTTAAATAGACAAGACTTTAAATATCTCCTAATATTTTAGTCACATTACTCGTATGTTAAATAAAAGCTTTTAAAAAAATTTCACGTACATGTTAAATAAAAGTTCTTTGAAAAAAAAATTTCATTTGTTCATAATTAAACTAGTTACTGTAGTATCGTCTCTAAAAAACATAATAATTGGACAAAGGTATTTGTTGGCGTATCTTAAAATATGCAAGTTTCTATATTAAAATATGCTAGTTTCTGTTTTAAAATATGCTAGCTCCAATCTTAAAATATAGTAGATCCTATATAAAAATATGCTAGTTCCCGTTTTAAAATATAGTAATTCCTATATTAAAACACGAGGCCTAGTGATAAGACAAATATTGTTTTCTTTATGCCCTGGTCATGTAGATTTTATTTTTGTAACACAGCATTGTATTCTTTTATATTTTTATGCAGTAAATATAAGATTACGTTTTAGGATAGAATCAGAAAAGTTTGAGTTATGATATAAAAAACTCAAGGATTGATAACTATAATTTTTTTTTTGTTGAGGGTTTAGAAACATTTGTATATGTCAAGGTTTAAAAACACCAAGTCAAGCTTTTAGAGTATTATCATAAACAGCGTACAAACATCATAAACAGCATACCAAGTTGGTAACTAATTAATTCTACTAGATGCAGTAATGCAACATTTTGTGATTTAAAATTAGTAAAAACAAAAAAGAAGAAATGGAAAATTTTTACCCGAACTAATTGATGTTTATCGATAATTCGATTCTATTGATATAGAAGCCGATAATAAGTTTTCTGATAAACTAAAAACGGAATTAGACAATTGAGTTTAATTTTTTACTTTAATGTTTGTTTTGAACTTTTTGTTATCATTTTTTTTTATATATAACTATTTGTTTTGCTCAATTAGTGTAAATAATGAGGTAATAAATAAAGTGAATACGTTGCCAATAGCACACAGTGCTAACAAAACACAGTGTTATTAAGACTCAGTGTTAATAACCTAGGATGTTATAACTAACACGCAGTGTTACTAATCTAGAACCTGAACAACCAAGGTTTTAAATTTTACCATATAATTCAGGATAGGATTTTGTAAACTGTAATAAAACATTCAAGTTGTGTTTTTCGGATCCAATAACAAAGTCAACTTTGCAATATTTTTTTCGGCATGAAAACTATTTTTTAAAGTATTTCATAAAAGTCCAAAAAACTCATCTTTTAAGTACTATTATACTTGAAAGTTTGACAACATTTTTTAATATGGAAACTTTGAGCTACCACAATGAAGCGACAGGTGGAATAAGAATAAAAACATGGTAAAGTTGCAAGTCTTGTGTAGTCAGAACATTTCATACCTGGTATTCGAAGTTTGGAATAATCGTATTTTTACTGATAATGAACTGAACTCAGGTTTTACAATGTTTAACAATAATCATATATCAATGGATTCTATCAATGGATTTTAGAAAAGGCGGAGAAAAATTGTGACATAAAGAAGGGGAGCGTCAACCTCAATGAAAAGCCGATTGCGGTCAAGATATAAAGAAAATTGTTTATGGAAAATCGGTTTTTAAAAAATTATAAAAAGATTTTTAATATTTTATTGAACATTTTTATTTAATTTATTATTCAAAATTTTAAATAAGAAAGTTGCAAAAAAAAAAAATTCTTTGAAAAGTTTCATTGAAAACTTTAATAAAGTTTAAAATTTTTTGTAAAGCATGAATAAAAAAAAAGAAATTAAATCACAAAAATATAATATAATTAAAAAAAATAATTTATATATATATATATATATATATATATATATATATATATATATATATATATATATATATATATATATATATATATATATATATATATATATATATATATATATATATATATATATATATATATATATATTGTAGATATATATATTGTAGATTTATGAAAAAAATAATTTTAATAATTTCCTTTTATTAAATTTAAATCATAAAATAAATTTGTGTTTGAAAGATTTAAACCGTAATCGAAATTCTTTGTCTGTAAAACAGTAGATAATTGGAGCTGAAAGCGAATTTAAAAACGCTAAAAACTTTATTGCAAATTCTAAATAAGTTTGACTGACAGGATTTAGGTTCAAAAAACATTTATCTCTACAAAATTTACTAAGCATATAATAAACAATTGATGGTGTCCAAAAAAATGCGTAGCAAGTTGATAACAAAATGGAAATTTTTATAATATTTTTACTGTAATCAGTTTTCTTCTGGTTGCTACATAATATACTGTTTATGTCATTAAACTTATCTTTCATTTGTGGTATTGCTAGAACATTTTGTGTTACATCAGATGTTTTTTTAATTGGTACTTTTTCAGTATCTTTAATATGTTTAATAATATATTTATAGAAGTACAATATTAAAATATACGGCACAAAACAATTAATTACAAGCATTGTTATTGTCCAAACAGTGTTCTGGCGATAAAAACATTCATCTTGACTAAGCAATTGTGCTGATATCTCAGGTAAGTAAAATGGAATTGTACACAGTGCAACAACATAAACCCAAAGAGCTATTACAATAATTTTGACATATTTTACTTTGACCAATGCTTTATATTTAAAAATAAATGTAGTAGCGATATAACGATCTAATCCAATAAGTAAAACACAAAATATTGACATATAATATGTTATCATGTACGAAAATCGAAAAGAATCACATATAAAATTGTCCCAAGATCTGTTTTGAATATTTATTTTTTTAGCAGCATAGATTGGTATTACAAATATTCCTTGTAATAAATCAACAATCAATAAGTTGATAGTAAAGTGTATTGATGGTCTGCTAAGAATTTTCTTTGATTTCTTTATAATAACCAAACTTAAAATGTTGATGGTGATGGCAGCCACTGCAAGCAAGCAAAGAGAAGCAACTGAGAGATATTTAAATGGTTCGCCAATTGTTGAACTTACAGTAGAATTCATTTGCTTTTCTATTAAACATAAATAAAATCATTTTTTTAATAAACCCTAGTCATTAAAGTATATAATTAAAAAAAAAAATTATTGCAGCATAGTTATTTTAAGTTGTGAATCCAAAAATAAAAACATAGGGTGTTACATGGGTGTCATCATGGACTAAAGTACCCTATATTTAAATGAGATTTTAGTAAGTTATTTATAGTAATAAATAATTAATAATATATAATAAAGAATATCACGCTGATTATTTTAAAATAGTTATGTATGCATCATTTAAAATACGCTCAGAATTAATACAGAAAACAGAGAATATTGACTTTTCCTTTCTCCGTCTTTCTTATTTATTATACAACTGGGAAAAAAAATCAATTTTCTCTCACTTAAATTTACTTTAAATATTAGTTTTTGTATTTTACAGACAAATCTTCTTCTTAATGTAGTTTTTTTTTTATAAATATTAAATTTAATAAATTTTATATTAGTAAAAAAATTAATAAGTTTTTGTGTAAATATTTTTAAGGTAAGTAACTCACGTTTTTTTGTAAAAATTTGAACGTCTTTAAAGTGGTCATCCAGCACTTCCATAAATGGTAAATATCAATTAAAGTTCAATATTTTCATTCGATATAACATAATAAAAATTAGTGAGATCAAAAATTTAGTAATAAGAAGTTAATCTGTAAAAATTTTTAAACAAACAAAACCGCCTGTTATAAAAATATATGGTGAACGATAAAAGAACAATACTTAATTTAACTTAGTATAAATCTTTTTGAAAAAAAGATTTTAATTAAAGATTTAGATGTTTAAAGTTAGCAATTGGGTTTTCACCGTGATGTGATGTTATTATGTGATCATATAATATTTGTGCTATAGATATATGTATATAAATACTTTTTTTAAAAAAAAAGCTGACATTTCTTATGCCATGTTATAAAACTTTTTGGCCATTACTATAAACGTCTCTCTCAATATTTGGTTGAGGCGTCTATTGTTTGTATTTGTACTAAAGTATATTTATAAAATATATTTATAATCTATAATATATTATAATCATTTTTTAATATAACAATAATAAATTATTTATTCTTGTTATTGTATAACATTTATTTCTTACTCAAAATTGAATATTCAATATTCTTTAGTTAATATTTTCAATATTTGCTTAGCATTATATTTAATATTAAATTAACATGCTCGTTAATTTTGTATTCATTTTTTATATGAAGTAATAAACAGAATTTTTATTCAACGCTATATTCAATATTTATTCAATGTTATATTCACTATTTATTCAATGGTATATTCAATATTTATTCAATTTTATATTTAATATTTATTCAACCTTTTACTTAATGTTACATTCAGTATTTATATTCAATGTTTAATTCAATATTTATTCAACGTTATATTTAATATTTTGTCAACGTTCTGTTCAATATTTATTCAACGTTATATTCAATATTGGCGTAGTTATAATTTATGAGAAATGAAAAATGTGAAAGATAGAAATCTTTATAAAGTTTTTATATCAATGTTCATCTGTCGTCTGGAATCAATAATAAAACATAAAAAGTTAGAGTTGTTTAAAGTCTGACATATTTTATTTTTAGATTTGGAATATTTTCATGAAAGAACAATTACCAATCAACGTATGGACGACAAAAGAAAACATTATAGATGGCGTAATAGATAAGAAAAAAATGTGCATTTGCGAGTTGCTAAAATAAATGCAAAATTATTTGATATGAAAAAATACTTGATGTGTTATAAATATTTATTTAAAATTAAAAAAGTTACAAAATATATGCTTAAATGTTATAACTTGATCTTTTTTAAAAAAATTTAATAATTTTCAAATGAAAACTGCTTCTTCATAATGAACACTGCTTTCTCGTATTTAATTCGCTTAATAATAATAAAAATTAACAATATGTTTTGCCTTTTTTTATTGTTATATACACAAAAACTGGGTAAACAGCTTTAGGATAATAGATCCAACATTTTGTATCCAGTTAATGACAAAAAATTAATACTGAGCTTGATGTTGTAACTCATGAAAACGAGGAATGATAGACATATATCATTTATCAGTACCATGATTAGATAGAAACTGTGGAAGAAAAGGAAATTATAACTTTAAAGCAATAAATATTTATTGATAATCTTTATTAAGGCAAGAAAAGTGTAACAAAATAAAATATCAAGATAAAACAAATCAAATTTTTTAAAATAAAAAATTAACTTATAAACATTTTTTTTCAATAAAAAACTCTAAATGAAGTTTAATTTTAATTTGATTTTCGTTTTCTACAAATTAAGCTGATTTTTTTAATCTTATAAAAAAACTTTTTAAGATTAACACTTACCTCAGTCATCCAAACTCAAAACCTTTTTAAGCTGAATAGGTTCAAAAAGATTCATATTGACATTAGGCCTCTCTCGAAGTTTTTATCTTAATTTTCAAGATCCTGCCAAAACAATTTCAAATAAAATACGACTTAAAAAGTTTATAAGTTAAAAACTCTTTGTAAAAAAATATACGCTTATGAAGTATGATAAAATATACGCTTAAAAAGCGTATATTTATATACTTCTATCTATATATCTATTATATATCTATATACTTCATACACATTCAAATAAACTAAAAGAATTTTTTAAAAAATTTCCAATAAAAAATGACGTAAAAAGTTAAAAAAGAAACGTAACTTAAAATTTTTTTGTAAAAAAGCAACTTTATTATTAACACTAACGCAAGTATAACCTAAAGTATAATTATTTTGTTAAATCCATATATGAAAAATTTTGTTAGCAAATATGCTTCGCGCAGTTTTAACCTTTATCGCCTAAAAAACTTTTATGCTGCTAACTGATTTTCAAAAAATCTAAAAAGCGTATATATTGTTAATGTAAATTCCAAGTATTGGTTATTTAAGAACAAAGAATTACTTATTTATATTAATATCATTTTATTTTTATAAAATAGAATGATGGAACAGACAGAGTGGGGTTATTCGGCAATAACAATTGTCGCTGATAGGTTAGCGATTTGAGGAGGTCGGATTTCTGACTGGCCCTTCGCTAGCTGATTCGGTGACCCTTCTTCGTTGCTCTCCATCTCAAAAGCCTAATTTCATGATATTCTTGAAATATAACGACGGTCCTGCATGGTTGGGGTATCAGCAAAGAGACCTAGTTGCCAATAAGTTAACGATTTGAGGAGGTCGGTTCTCCGACTGACCCTTCGTGGGCCGATGTGGCGACCCTCTCTCGATGTTTTTATCCTAAATTTCAAAATCTAGCCAAAACAATGAGCAGCCCAAACACATAAATATTTAACACCAGCTACACTTCCAAATAAACTAAAAGAATTTTTAAAAAAATCTTTAGATGAAAAATGACTTAAAAAGTTTATAAGTTAAAAAAGATATATAACTTAAAAACTCTTTGTAAAAAAGCAACTTCACTATTAAATTTAATGCAAATAACATAACTCAATAACAAAATTTAATTGCAAATATGTTTTGCGCATTTCAAACTTTTATCGCTTAAAAATATTTTTATGCTCCTAACTAATTTTTAACAAGTTTAAAAATAGTATATGTTGGTAATTTAAATTCCAAGTATTGGTGATTAAAAAATTAAAAAGCGTTTATATTGTTAATTTAAATTCCAAGTATTGGTTATTTAAAAACAAAGAATTATTTATTTCATTTAATAATATTCTATTTTTATAAAAAAGACTGATTGAGCAGACAAAGTGAGGTTGATCAGCAATAACACTTATCGCTGGTAGGTTGACGATTTGAGGAGGTCGGATTTCTGACTGGCCCTTCGCTAGCTGATTCAGTGACCCTTCTTCGTTGCTCTCCATCTCACAAGTCTAGTTTCATGATATTCTTGAAATTTAACGGTGGTCCTGCATCGTTGAGGTATCAGCAAAGAAGCCTAGTTGCCAATAAGTTAACGATTTGAGGAAGTCGGTTCTCCGACTGACCCTTCGTTGGCTGATGTGGCGACCCTCTCTCGATGTTTTTATCTTAACTTTCAAGATCCAGCTAAAACAATGAGAAACCCAAACACATAAATATTTAACACCAGCTACACTTTCAAATAAACTAAAAGAATTTTTAAAAAAATTTCAAATGAAAAATGACTTAAAAAGTTAAAAAAGAAACGTAACTTAAAAATTCTTTGTAAGAAAGCAACGTTATTATTAAAACTAACGCAAGTATAACCTAATGTATAACTAATTTTGTTAAATCCATATATGAAAAATTTGTTAGCAAATATGCTTCACGCAGTTTTAACCTTTATTACCTAAAAAACTTTTATGCTGCTAACTGATTTTCAAAAAATCTAAAAAGCGTTAATATTGTTAATTTAACTTCCAAATATTGGTGATTTTAAAAGCTTTTATATTGTTAATTTAAATTCCAAGTATTGGTTGCTTAAAAACAAAGAATTATTTATTTCAATTAATAATATTCTATTTTTATAAAAAAGACTGATGGAATAGACAGAGTGAGGCTGATCACAGATGACACTTGGCGCTGCTAGGTTAACGATTTGAGGAGGATTGAGTTTTGATAATAAAACTTATAAAAAAAGTGACTTCCGCGTCTTTAAACGAAATATTACTTTGATTTTGGCGCCTATATTTGGTTTATTTATTAGATTTTTGTATTATTTATTAGAATTTTAGACTTAGCCCATATAAATTCCTAATAGTCTTACCCGAATGACTTAACCTAAGAAAAATGATTGCTCACGTAATCTTTTTTTCATTACTTACCTTCCTTTTAAGAACCATCACGAATTAACATCAAAAAGGACATTGAGGAGAAGGGTTCGAAGACGACTAAATATTCAAGAGAGAATTGGAGCTAAGCGGAACTTAGAGGCATCTATAGATAGTGAGGGAACATTAGAAAAGGAGCAGAAAGTGGTCGAAGAACCACTAGTAAAAATAAATAAAGAAGATAAAGAAGAAGTGGAAAATACATTAAGGTTCTTGGCTGATGATTTAGACGTTTTCACGAACAATATAATTGTAAAGTAATGTACATTTAAATGATAAATATATATTTAAAAACATTAGTAACATAATTCCGAATCACCACCTATTATAATACCAATGATTTCTTACCCCTATAACCCTTATCCCAACCCGAACACGTGACTTTATACAGAACCTACGTGTAACCCAAACCCTAATTTTCAATAATTATCACAACAATTATCATAAATATTATATTATATATATTAAACATCTAAATCCCCCTTAGAACAACTGCTCTAAATATACCCACTAATACATTGAATTACAGAGACAGCCAATTTTAATACTTGTCTCTAAAATAAAACCGATGAAAATAACAAAAAATAATTCCCGCGGAAAACGATAGAAAAACTCACCTTGAGAATTACCTAACTATTTTCGCGGAGACTAAAGAAGCTCTGACACGTAAATAGAACAATAGACTATTGAAAACTTACAACGATAGAACAATGGAACTTCTAAAAACAGAAATTTTACATTTTTATGTGCACACGTTTCGTTCGTATCAGATATCTGCTAACAAGCGAAGAAAAAGCAACTTTGGCGTTCAGAAATATATTTTTTCTTGATTATTTAATAAAAAAATCCACATTAACGACAACACGAACGATGGCATCGAATAATTACATAAATATACACCCTACTACAACACCCAGCAACACGGTAAGAAAAACATTCCCTTTATCACATTTACGTACTTAATAAGTCATACCATCACCACCCCACTATAATTTAGCATTTACTTGAACATCACACGCCACTATAATTCACCATTAAAAGCACCCCATACTATTCTTACACATTATGCATACTTAGAATTTATTATAGAGTCCAAACACACCGGAAGACATATTCCTTACACAAGACGTGTTCCGAAATCAAGAAGTTCTCGTG